TTTGATTTCGAAGGCAATGCATGTGATAATAACACGAACTTACGTACAACAGTTTTGTGCCGGGTCCGTTCAGTAACCAACTTTAACTTTACACCAGATATTATCTTCTCTATTGCTCGTACTTTAATCGGGCTTCAAAAGGAGAGAAAAATTGTATGTAGTGTTATATTTTTACTGAGGATAAAGATTGTTGACAGTTATTAGCTTACATCCACGTGAGCTTACATGCAGTTTTTATAACTTTTCTTTTGCCTAGTACGAGTACTTGAACACATATATTTTGCACTGTGTATGCAAGATTTTTGTATCCTGTAACTGGCTATACAAAATCCCTTCCAAAAACCGAAACTGTAACTGTATCATTCAAAGTGCTAGTAAACGTCTAGTGATCTTGCAACCCTCTAAGATACCTTTCCAAGATACCCTTGTGAGCAGATTTGTGAACTGAAAGTGGAGTCATTTGAATGTTTCTAGCCCTAAGATTGTATCAGTTCTGTATTTTATCTGTCATAACAGTGAAGATAGCTCAGTTGTGGTTGTCTCAGTATTACTGCAATCTTTGATCAGAAATTATGGCAACTGTGCTCCCATGATTACCTTCTTCTCAATGTACAATTTATGCACAAACCGCACAGCTATTTTATTGTGGGATCATATGAAACACCCAAGAGAGCAGTTTTTCAAGATCGTAAGAAAATCACTCTAAAGAGTATTACCCTAAGTGATCAGATGGTCCTCCTCTATGTACTCAGTTCTTTTCTTGCAAAAACACAATTCTGTGCAAATAATGTCATGCTGTTGACCTAGCTCAATCTGGGTGGCTTTCAGTTTTACTTTTAAGGTTGGTTTTCACTAGCCATAGTGGTAGTCGTAAGAGAAGAGCTCACGACGTAGTGAAATTCGGAGTTGGAGTTGGAGTCATAAGCTTGACGGAACCAGTTTGAAAAATCAGAACATTTCCATTTCTTCCAATTCCGTTTACGACTCCATTGCTTATGATCCAGTGAAAAATAGATTGTTGGTGTGGGAAGCAGAAGCGGAAGAACCAACCCATCAAAATGTCTGGAATCAAGTGTTGTGATTGGTTTATTCTCTTCTGCTTCTGACTCTGACAACCTAGGTTTCACTAGATGGTAAGCAATGGGGCCATAAGCGGAATGGGTGTTCTGCTTTTTAGGTTGAATCTCTGACATTTTTTGTGTGTGGGACAAACTAAGTATGCATTATTAACTGGCATGTATTGATGTTTCCTTTTAGTACTTTGCGACTACAGAAGCGGCTGGCAGCCAGTGTCCTTAAATGCGGAAAAAAGAAGATTTGGCTAGATCCTAATGAGACCAATGAAATTGCCAATGCCAACTCACGTAAGTTACAGCTGCAAATTGTTGTTGGGCAAAATAATATTTGTTAGAACGAAGTCCTCTAGTTTCTTTTGTTGGCTCTGTTTCTTCTGGCAATTCGTACTTGTACCTAAAAGTTGTTAAATTGTTTTTTCTGTGTGTTTTATTTATGTTTATTTTGACCAATCAGCATCAAATTTCTTACGATATCAGTGCATCGTCATCCATGAATGTTTTCATCAACTTGGAGCTATTTAGTACCTGATTTTTAGCACTAACATTGAAAGCAGTTCAATTAGGGAGGAAAATGCGCATAGGAGTGTTAACAAGCTGATTTGGCCCTGGAATAACCATTCACCAATTTGTCTTATTTAAATTTCTAGGTCAGAATGTTCGTAAACTTGTCAAAGATGGTTTAATCATCAAGAAGCCTCAGATCATCCATAGCCGTGCTCGTGTTCGTAAGGCAGATGAAGCAAGAAAGAAGGGACGGCACAGCGGCTATGGTAAAAGGAAGGGTACTGCAAATGCTCGTATGCCTGAGAAAGTCATCTGGATGAGACGTATGCGAGTGCTCAGAAGGTTGCTTCGAAAATACAGAGAGGCAAAGAAGATCGACAACCACATGTACCATACCCTGTACATGAAGGCCAAGGGTAATGTGTTTAAGAACAAGAGAGTCTTGATGGAATACATACATAGGAAGAAGGCTGAGAAGCAACGTGCCAAACTTCTAAGGTTAGTTCTCTCCAGTCATATTGTGCTTTGTGCTGTACTCACCGGGCACCTGTGCTTTCTATGATTTGCCATCATGATATCTAAAGTTCTTCAAGCTATATATTTTTCTCTATTGACACAGCGGAATCTAGAATCATGTTACCGGTATTAGTCACTAAGAAGTTTTGATAGTTCAGAAACTGGTCAGCTTTTTGGTTTGGGTAACCCACACAATTTAGAAGTAACTAGTCATTTCTAAAACTGGTTACCAAAATAATGTAGAAATTGTAGTGTTAAATGTTGGTGCACCATCTCCCCAATATTTATTTTTGGACTGCCAAAGTAAGCTAGTCATTTCCAATACAATGTTGTATTTACCTAGCACATGTAGTTGATTGTAAGACACTATACTGCACACTATTAAGCCGGCCTGGCCTTGTTTTTATCAAGGATGGGTGACTAAGTGTGCACAAAGCAATAGAGGAGTTTTTCTGACTGATCAGTGATTTGCTTTATCTGTGACTGAATCTGGTCCTGGGCTCCTCTGACAAATACTGTATACAATGGATAGCAGAGCCGGTTTCAAATTTTGCTTTCACTTCCTTACTTTAGTTACTGTATATGCGTAGCAGCAGACAAGGTGCAATAATTAACACTTGATGACTGGTCCCAAGGGGAACAGTGAATTTTGTTTCCGGAATCTCAATGTTTCCCTCAACTTCATCTCGAGAAACATTGAGATTTGAGGGAAACAAAATTCTCTGTTTCCTAAGGGACCAATCATTAAGTGATTTGTTTTGTAGCAAAACAAATGGGTCAAAACAAATAATCACTTTATAATCACTTTATGGACAAATGATGAGCAACAGCGCTTAACATTTCGTGGGCAACAGTGAACTGTTTCCCGTTTGATGTCATAGTTTTCGCAATGTTGCCCGCTCATGGCATTAGGTGGGAAAAGTTTCATTGTTAGATGTCATGTGACCATGAACTAGCCAATGAATGGGTGCGCTGTAGCGGGAAAAATGCCAGCTATATAACAACTTAGTTTGTTTACTTGATCCCTTGTCATGTGTCTCCAGCTAAGTATTGCTCTGTAAACCAGATTTTTGAGACATCATCGAGACAAGCAAGGTTGCACTGAATGATTTTTCATGTTGCTCTGTGTGACTTGATTTTACTTATTTGTAGCTCTGCAGGGAGACACATAGAATGCTTTAATATTTTGTATTTTTGTAGTTGTATCCATGAATGCAGTGTGGTTAAAAATAAGTGTAGTGCAAGAAAAGTGGAAAGGCAAAATATATTAAACTTATTATATTCCCTTTAATCAAATTTATACATTTATTTTAGGATTAAAAGAAAACTAGTATAAGAGAGGAAAGAGTAAACACATGGTAAATAATTAGCACTCACTAAGCAGCTTGTTTCATTGTTTATTTTAGTGACCAAGCCGAGGCTCGCCGACAGAAGAACAGAGCAGCCAAACAAAGGCGAGACGAACGTCTGGAACAGAAACGCAAGGAAATGATCCAGCAAATTGCAAAAGAAGAGGAGGCAGCAAAATAAATACAAATAAACGTTCAATTTGTTTGAATAAAACTTCTTTTGTAAGGGCAACATGTTGTCTTATATGTCTCAAGCTTGGTCTGTGTACAATTTTCTTATTACCAGGATTAAGCCATTCATTCACTTCCTGTGTCCAGTGTTTTCCCAGCCATGTGAAATTTTACTGATTTGAATAAGTGCCCTTCCAGTAAGTACTCTACATTGAGATTTGTTTTGTTTCTTTTTTGACAAGTGCCCCTATTAAAAAGTTCCTTCATCCAAAGTACTCATTATAGAACTTTTATTGTTTAGTTAAGAAGGCAAACGTTCTTTCAGTATACTCCTACAACTTCCTGTTTACTATTTAGTGTAAACTTGACTGCATTCAGCTGGAAATAAGGGGTGCTTTCTTTTCAACCAAACATCACGGTTATTTGCAGGCATTTCCAGTGGCAAATTGCACGACACTTTACCGGAAAAAGCGACAACTTCTCAAAGGTATGCCCAAGTAAACATATTTTGAGAAATTTCCTTTCCATTTGCCTTTGCCTGGAATTTGCAGACTGAATTTATGCTTTGTTTTCCAACTTTTCTACATATTTCCATACTATTCGCACAGGTTTAGGTGTGCCCAAAGTTATTTATGATGATGTCTTAAGCCACAAAAATGTGGATACTAAATTAAATTCAGTAGATTTACATAACTGAAGCCAGTCTGCTGAGAGCGACCTATTTGGCCAAAAAAATATGTTCATTAGCTCTGCTGTTTTCATTGTTTTTTCCTTTCGATGCCTTGGGATATGTAAGGTGTGATAATATACTGAGAAATAAAGCTTGGAGATTCAGTGGGGACCTGATAACACTGGCCTCTTTTCATGCAGATGTTTCCAATTTCCCTTCAGTTCATGGAGACAGGTGCAAAAGTTCTATAACTTTGTCTAGAGCTAAATTAAATATCCCTTGATAGTTAACAAAATTTCCAGAAAAAGCATGCTTTTGTAGAGTTCACAATGACATCCATGTATTTATAAATTGGCATATGAAACAGACATTTCAGCAGTTGGATACCAATAAAGGCTGGTTTTCACTTGCGTATAAGTATAAGCTGCAGACACAGTAGGCACCTTTTCTTTGGCAAATTTACTAACAAAAGAAGCTACTTGACAGCCCATTGTTGCATCTGTATTGCTTATGCTTACAAACAAAGCCCTTTTGTGCTGGCCAAGTTTAAGCCAGTTTAAGAGATGTTTTGTATGTCCACATTTAAAAACTGTTGTACAATGAAGCACTAAAAATCTGATGAGATTGTATGAAATATGGACAGACAGACAGACAACCTTTATTTAAGCACAATTAAAATAAAAGCTCAGTAGCTTGTGGGTCATGCAAAAATATAGTAAAATTAAAAAAATTAAACTTCGTACAAGGAATTTTTGTCATATACGATGTAACTATCAACTTGCATTCGACACTAATAGTAATTTTAGTTATAAATTTCTGAATAAAGTGTGCCACACCAAACCAAGCTAGGGCGACAGCTTACTAATTTTAAGATTTTTATTTGATAAATTTATTCTATAAAAACGTTTATTAAGCTATCTTTCAAATTCTGTCAGTCAGGGTTATTACAGGTCATGGAAAACCTGGAAAGTCATGGAATTTACTATTTCAATTTCCAGGCCTGGAAAGTCATGGAATTTAAGTGAAGGTCATGGAAAGTCATGGAAAAGCAATATGCATTTAGAAAATAAAAAGGCAAAAAGATAAAAAATTTGAAAAAAAAAAAACACAAGCCCAGAGACAGGCTTCCACATTTCAGTAGAAAATAGACAAAAGCATGCATCTTAAGCATTTTTTATGCTGGAAAATATGTTAAATAAATGATTGTTTTGATGCTACTGTAAGAACAACTGCTTAACTTAAGTGATCAAAAACTCAAAAGGTCATGGAAAGTCATGGAATTTTAAAAGCTTCAAAGAGTACAAACCCTGTCAATGCTTCGTGCTCTTAATTGTGTCCCTTCAGACACTCGAGTTGAGCCAATATATATTACAATTTGATGTTTGTGTCTATGTTTTTAAGCTCCCAAACATAGCGTGTTCTAGGCTCTTGGTCAGTGGGGACAACCCTGTTTGGCCCCGCCTGCTTTTTCAATCATCCCCACTGACTGAAAACCTAGAACACCTGCTATGAACATTGAAGTGGCATACAACAGTGGTCAGCATGCGTTTCCACATGGTACATATTTGATATTAAAGTTGTGCTTCTGTAACACATCTGCTCTGACAGTCAGTTTCTTCCACTCATCCGACCCATCACAGCAGTCGCATATCCCGTCATTAATGCGAGAAGACAACAGATAATGTCCTCCACCTACGCAGAAGAATCTGAGGACAATTACAGAAGCAAAGACATGTGTTACCAATATTGTGCAGGGAGCCAAGCAATAGCCAAGACTTCAAATCTTACCTAGTGTTTGGGCATGCGCCAGTCCCTGGTTCATCACTACCATCACTACAGTCACAGAAATCATCATTCACCGAAGTCCAGGTGACTCTCATTTCTCCATCTAAGCAAGCAAAGAGTCCCATTGGGTTGGGTCGATAACTTGCCATGTCAGATGGAGCAACACCTAACATACCTTGGAATAAAATTTTTTTCTTCATTAGGAGACAATTTATCCTCCCTTTTGATGAAGGGCTACCACTTATACTTTACAAGTAAAAAATGAAATGTATGGAAAAAATAAAACACTGAAATTATTCATATTTTCTTTATGCATCAGTCAATTCCAGCAGTGCCCATCTCCTCAGGCAAACAGCTAGGCATTTGCTCACGTCTTAATCCTGAGGGTGGGGCATTTGAAATTTTATTATTGCATGGGGGCTGGGCATTTGCCTACCCCTGAAACAACCCAAAAAAATTTGACACCCTTGTGGTTTGGGTCTCAAATGTGGCAGAGAATGCGAACATATTTCTCTCAATGTTATTTCATTTCCTGTTGAACACATAATTAGTAAGATCAAAGTAATGAAGTTAACTCAATATAATTAATGCATGAATTCTAATGCTATCTGAGATGATCAGTTTCTTTGTACACTTCCAAACTGTGCATGTTAAAACAACGCAACCATCATAATTAGCAAAAATAATAAATCAAAAGGAAACTTTCATATATTTGGTGTTGTCAAAAAATTCTTCATGCAATATTGTAACCACTGGAAGGAACAAACAAAACGATGTGAACAAATTAATATTGAACACCTTTTCACCATGATATACATCTGAACTTTTTAGCACAGTTTATTTCTAGAGCCAGTGAGTGGGGCATTTGACATGGTTTTTGTTCTCACAATAATAATTATTGACCTACTTATTTTCACTTATTTGCCATTTTTTTGGGGAAAAAATGTTAATGCCTGGTAATTATAATAATAAATAACAATAAATAGTATTTTTATAGCGCTTATCCAAGTGTGATCTATGCGCTTTACAAGTTACAAAATATGATTAAAATAGAATAATATTAAAAATAAAATAAAACAAGAATCAATAAAATTATTCCAAAAAGACTTCCTTGAATAAATGACTTTTAAAGTGTATGTGACACAAAAAATAATTTCTGAGTTTTAAAAAATTGATGACTGTCTGATTTTCTGATATATATTGGTAAGTCGCTCCAGAGTTGTGGCGAGGTGACAGCAAAAGCTCTTGGTCCATAATACTTCTGAATGAGCCAGTAGTTGGCTGGGAGGAAGGGGAACGGGGGGCCGGGGGGGGCTTAAGCACATCTGGAATTGATTGATACATTAATTAAAGCACTTATATTAACAAGCCCAAATAAACTTAATAATATTGCAATTAATTCAAGTGGCCAGTCAACCAGAAAATCAGGATCGAAGGGCAACGGGCGGAAAATAGTCTTGCAGAAATCAGCAGACTATCAGTAGCCTGTAATGTGATATCTTGGAATGCTTCTAACCGGTAGCCATAACGGTTTTAGCCTAAGGATAAAATGTTGTTTCCAAATATCTCGCAAACATGTACAATCCTGTCTTCTCTTTTCATTAAATTAAGCTTACACCTTTTTAAACGTCAGACAATTACTGCTGTTATTTTTGCTGACGTTACTTGATCATCAGCGCTAGCTATAAACTGCAGCTTCTATAGGGATGAAAATAAACAACCTCATTTTCAGATGGCAGATATAAAATTGAACGTAATAATATATTTACGGCATTAATACCTATAAATAGATGCGTCACCAAGCTATAATGAAACCACAATATTTCCATTATCACCTTTATTGACGCAGTGAGCTGACGTTTGTAAGCCGCCTTCCGATGTACATTTCGATTCGTTTCTTTCAGATTCCACGTTGCTCCTTTCATCAAGCTGTTTTGAGTCTTGAACAACAAGCCGATTGCTAGTTCCATGAGTATTTTGAACGAGGATCTTGTATGATTTCCAGTGTGTAAAGAAGAACAGAATTACCACAAAGCCAAAACTGACCAAGACGTAACACTTCCGTGTTCTAGGTAACGTCATTTAATTCAATATTAATTTAATTTTGCTCACCAAACTGCATGCAAAATATCCTGAAATGTTGTTCTTTTGTCTCCCAGGTCCTGGGAACCAGTAAGCTCTGGTACACAGCGATACGTGACGTCTTTACGTGACGTCAACCTTCTCGCCCAGCTTGGTCACATGACCACGAAGCAAAACAATTGTTTTGGCAAAGATCCGGAGAGAAAAGGAACCGTTGATTTTGTCGACGTTCAGTTGAATCTTTTCATTTTCGGCAAGTTCGTTTGCTCAGTAGTATTCCGTCAAAATAACTTACGGTGGGACCCATACTAAGCTTGATACCACTTGAAAATTAAGCTTATGCGCGTTTGCAATCGTCTGGAAACTACCAGACTGCACTGGCCCAGAGTTTGAAGGGTGAACAGAATTTTAAACATAGTTTGGCTGTTTAATTGCATTTGAAGTAACGACTGTCTTTTGCTGTAATCACTTCAAAGGAGCCTGTCTATCGCCACGACTTCTGTGTTAACCTAGTTCACTGAAAAAGAAACTGAATTCGTGCCAAAATTTTGCTGCGTGCACTTGAAGACTTGTTAGGCGTTGTAAAAGTGGAATGTTTGACGTTTAGTTTAAACTTGGAAGCAAGAGATCATATATCGACAGAAAGGTGAGTCGCTGTATTCGTTGTAAATTTTATTTATTGAGGTATGACACATTTGTTCTCTCTGTGTTAATCTTTCTGCGCGAGAAACAGACACACATCGGAGACAGTAACTCACGTTGTTTTGATTACTGCTGACGGTCGCCGTCGCTAACGGAAGTTTCAAGAGAATTTTGAACCGAAAAAAGGAAAATGCTATGGTTTTTCCCCTTGAGAAACAATTTTAACGTGTTGTTTGGATTTCTTAGGTAGAAATGGAAGGGTGAGTTTGAAAAAATCATCGAAGAGGTAGAAGCGAAGGATGAACCTTGAACGAAAAATTAGGGTTTAGCTTATATTATCGATTCTGTTGTAGGCTTCCAGAAGGTCAAAATTCTCGTCTGCAAGAATGGGCATATCCATCAAGTTTCGTTCTAAGCAATAACATACACGTAGATAAGTGCTGCTCGAGTGTTTTTTGAAGCAAATCGCAAGCGAACGTGACGAGAACTAAAATGATTGTTTCTTTTGTTGTGTAATCCTCGCAGGACTTTAATTCAAAATGGCAAAAGACAGAGGAACTGATGTGGAAAGGACTAAAGCAACTGCTTTGGAGGAAGCTCCCCCAAGACAGAATCGTAATGATGATCGACGCTTCTCGCTCAGAAGGATTTTCGGACGCTCCAAGACGTACAAGGGGGAAAATTCCTCGGACAAATTTACGCGAAAAAACAGTACAGATTCGTTAGCGATCTGCCCTGTTTGTTACGCTATGAGGTCGAAATCTCTGTTCCCAGAAATTTCCACTTGCGAACACAGATCTTGTTTTGAGTGCTTGAGGCAGTACATGACAATCGAAATTAATGAGTCAAGAGTGAACTTAACTTGCCCTGAGTGTTCAGAAAGATTTCATCCCAATGACATCAAGGTAATTCTCAATGATGATATCTTAATGGCAAAATATGATGAGTTCACTCTTCGTAGAACCTTAGTTGCAGACCCAGATTGCCGCTGGTGCCCAGCTCCAGATTGTGGGTTTGCCGTCATTGCATCAGGTTGTGCTAGTTGCCCCAAATTGCAATGTGAACGACCTGGTTGCAACACTGAATTCTGCTACCATTGCAAGCAAATCTGGCATCCTAACTTGACATGCGATGCTGCAAGACTTCGACGTGCTACTCACATTAAATCAATTTCTGGATCTGAAGGACGTAATTCAAATGGGTCTGATGACATGAAACCATGCCCGCGTTGTGGAGCTTTTATTATAAAGATGGACGATGGATCTTGTAATCACATGACTTGTGCAGTGTGTGGAGCAGAGTTTTGTTGGCTGTGCATGAAAGAGATTTCTGATCTCCATTACTTAAGGTA